TGTTAAGGTCGGGTCCGAGCCGGGATCTGTCCGGGTGCAAGAAAACGATTATCCATTGAATTTTTGCGCCACTGCGCCCAAATTACCTTGCTTTAGGTAAACTGCGTCCCGTTTATAATTTGGTTTAAAAAAGGTTACATGTTACAAGCTGCGCCCAGCTTCTTATCGTCGGTATGAAATGCAAACAGCGCCCGAATCAATACAATCGCAGAAATATTAATATTTGGCCTCGGATGAAGATAAACGGACGTCGCTTTCATTTAACGCAATCGTGGATTAGACATATCCAACAAAATGGCTCGAGTATTGACTATAACTTATAAACAGTGATATTAAAAAGGGAGGGGGGGGGGTTAGTTCAATGCTTAAGTAGAAATATTACTGAACCACCTTCGCCCCTGTATTTAGGTACGAATGTACGAATATATATATATATATTCATATATTTACGAGCGTTTTAGGTCGGGTTGAGAACTTTTAATCTGCAAGAGATAAGAGAGATAATTATACATAAAAACATATTATTATAGATTTATTTTTCGGATCTAATTACAAAAAATGTATCCACTATTTGGTATAATAAAATAATAGGTAGTACAAATATTAAGTTTGACATTTAGAGTTTATTACATTTTATTTTATTAGAGAAATGCCGTGCAGAAATAATAAAAAAATCTAAACGTATTTTATTATACCTAACATTAATTGATGTTGTCGTACAAAATGGCGCACGCCCGTCTATCACGTGCGTGCGCTCAAATGGCACCTTCTGATTGGCTGATTGTGTAAACGAAAAACAGCAGCCATTTTCTAACATGGAGAATTACTTTGAAATGTACACATTTTTTCATGTATCTTAAATCGACCTATTTTCTCGACTTCAGCATAATCTATATTTGGTGCGGTTGGGCGTGATCGGTCCCAATAGTGAGGGGGTATTGGGTTCAATTCCCGTTCCTCCACTCCTAATAATACTTTTTGCATTTTTTTAAAACTTTTTTTCAACTCTTATGGTAATTTATATTGCAAGAAGTCTAAACACTTATAAAATAGTTATATTTTACTACTACAGAGTACATTTTTACCCTTAAAAGTTACCCTCGCGCCGATACGTTTAAAATACATTTTCATCATCAGACGCTGAACTCTAACAACGCGTTAGTGAGTCCGGGGAACGTTAAGTTGGTGTCGTTCTAGCAGGGTACAGTAAAATTATATTAAATTGGTTTGTTGATTTTTAGGTTAGTCGTTAGATTTGTGTCGGTTTCAAATGTTGTTGATTCATTGTTTGAGGATTGTCGTGCCGGCCTCTAGCGTTTGTAATAATTATTCCTTGCGGAGAAAAACAGGTATGCACAGTATTGAGTCGCTACACTGCTGTTCACCCCAAAAATTGTAGTCCCTATAACTTGCAGGCCTCAGAGTGGTCGCGTGGGTAGAACTAAGCTAATACTGTGCGTATCCTGAAAGGTATATATTGTTATTTATTTTATACCTGTCTTCATTTAACAACTGGTGTAGAACTGGATCAAAATCTGCTAGTAATTTACTATCACTTTCTCAGTTAGTCTTAACAGTTTTAAATACAGTAACCATGGTTTAACTACAGAGCAATCACTAATATCAGTGTTATTAGGCTGCATATCGATTTTCAGAGAACTACTATAAATATCTACTATTTTAAAATCGATAAGAACTGTTTGACAAATAGATAAATATTTAAAAAAATTTATTTTTATAACTGCTTTTGTTCTTTAATCAGGACCTAGACTGAAGGTATCTAAGTTAGAAATTGTGCCCCAAAATTCATCTTATAGTGCCCTTTTAGCAGGGCGTCGCCCTGCCCGCCCCCGGTAGTTTCGGCACTGGTAAACAATGAAAATTATTAATTGTACTTTTGCTTTTTTTTTTACTTCAACCTAACCAAAATTACATTCTTTGGTTCTTTTTTGTTTATTCAAGGCGTTTAAACTAGGCTACACGGAGCACATAAAATTGCCAATTTTACAGCCGTTAAGGCACCTGTGTTTAATACTTCCTGTTCTGTGTCGCTAAACTGTTTTATAACATCTCTATTAAGCATCGACAAGCATTAAACAACCTTGGTCAGGCAGTAGATAAATGGGATGCAGTATTGATTGAGCTAGCGTTAAGCAAATTGGACAAGTTGACTCTACAACAATGGGAACTGTCGTTGGGCACAACTGATGTAGTTCCATTTTCCCAGTTTGAAATTTTTCTCAACTCTCGTATTAGGTTACTTGACGCGTTTGAAAGTGGTCAGCGAGGACTTGTTGTGTTTAACAGAAAATCCGACGAGCACAAATCTACCGGCTCAAAGAATAAATTGTGTTTATTACTCAAAGTTCTCCCTCACAATGTCCATTATGTCGCGGTGATCACTTGTTTCATCGATGTTACAAGTTCCGGAGTATAAAGGTTTCTGAATAATATGAAGTAGCAAAGGGATCGCGCATCTGTTTTAATTGTTTGTCACCTAACCACAATACAAAGAGTTGTTCGTCAAGCAACTGTCGCACTTGTTCAGCTCGCCATCATACTTTGCTGCATTATGATGCAATTAAGCGAACATCAAATGTTCAACCTAAAGAGAAACCAACACAATCCCTAGTTAAAGACTCAACAGAAAACTATCAACCTTCTTCGTCCTTAGTATTATTATTAGTCGACATAAAAATTAGTTGTGTACAGAAATCAGTCATACATTATAAAAATAATGAGGGCAGTAATAGCACAGTGCTGGCGTTACATTGAACTAAAAATATCCTAAATTTCCAGGTTACAGTTTAGTAGCTTTATCTATCACTTCCCTACGTGAAATAAAATTTGTTGACAATTGTACGCCCTATAAGCTGTGGTAGTCTATTACAGTTGTAATAAAAAATAACTTAATATGCCAAATCTAGAGTAGAGAAATATGCATACATTGGGTTTTTTTTTTTACATATAAATATTGTATTAATTAGTTTTGTTTGCGTTTAGGGAGAGGAACATAATGTGGAACCGCACCCAAATGAACCTATATTAACAACAGAACACAGAGTAGACGAAGACGAAGCCGAAGAGGTCCCACGTGGACCAACGCCGGATTTGGTAAGTCTAAAATACTAGAAATTGACTATGGCCAAATTTTATTCCCCCTTTTTTACAATCTATAAATGCTTATAGACTAATTTCCTTAAAAGGGTTGGATAATTTTTCTTGCCACTGGCTTTCCTGGTACCACACTTCGTTCTATTGAACTAAAACTATCCTAAATTTACAACTTACAGACTAGTAGCCTTATCAATCGCTTTCCTACGTGAAATACAATTTTTTACGATTGTACTCCCCATGAGCTGTGGTAGTCTATTACAGTTGTGATAAAAAATAACTAAAAATGCCAAAACTGGAGAAGAAAAATGTTAATACCTTGGGTTTTTTTTTAACATATATTTAAATATTGTATTAATTAGTTTTGTTTGCGTTTAGGGAGAGGAACATAATGTAGAACCGCACCCAAATGAACCTATATTAACAACAGAACACAGAGTAGACGAAGACGAAGCCGAAGAGGTCCCACGTGGACCAACGCCGGATTTGGTAAGTCTAAAATACTAGAAATTGACTATGGCCAAATTTTATTCCCCCTTTTTTACAATCTATAAATGCTTATAGACTAATTTCCTTAAAAGGGTTGGATAATTTTTCTTGCCACTGGCTTTCCTGGTACCACACTTCGTTCTATTGAACTAAAAATATCCTAAATTTACAACTTACAGACTAGTAGCCTTATCAATCGCTTTCCTACGTGAAATACAATTTTTTACGATTGTACTCCCCATGAGCTGTGGTAGTCTATTACAGTTGTGATAAAAAATAACTAAAAATGCCAAAACTGGAGAAGAAAAATGTTAATACCTTGGGTTTTTTTTTAACATATATTTAAATATTGTATTAATTAGTTTTGTTTGCGTTTAGGGAGAGGAACATAATGTAGAACCGCACCCAAATGAACCTATATTAACAACAGAACACAGAGTAGACGAAGACGAAGCCGAAGAGGTCCCACGTGGACCAACGCCGGATTTGGTAAGTCTAAAATACTAGAAATTGACTATGGCCAAATTTTATTCCCCCTTTTTTACAATCCATAAATGCTTATAGACTAATTTCCTTAAAAGGGTTGGATAATTTTTCTTGCCACTGGCTTTCCTGGTACCACACTTCGTTCTATTGAACTAAAAATATCCTAAATTTACAACTTACAGACTAGTAGCCTTATCAATCGCTTTCCTACGTGAAATACAATTTTTTACGATTGTACTCCCCATGAGCTGTGGTAGTCTATTACAGTTGTGATAAAAAATAACTAAAAATGCCAAAACTGGAGAAGAAAAATGTTAATACCTTGGGTTTTTTTTTTAACATATATTTAAATATTGTATTAATTAGTTTTGTTTGCGTTTAGGGAGAGGAACATAATGTAGAACCGCACCCAAATGAACCTATATTAACAACAGAACACAGAGTAGACGAAGACGAAGCCGAAGAGGTCCCACGTGGACCAACGCCGGATTTGGTAAGTCTAAAATACTAGAAATTGACTATGGCCAAATTTTATTCCCCCTTTTTTACAATCTATAAATGCTTATAGACTAATTTCCTTAAAAGGGTTGGATAATTTTTCTTGCCACTGGCTTTCCTGGTACCACACTTCGTTCTATTGAACTAAAACTATCCTAAATTTACAACTTACAGACTAGTAGCCTTATCAATCGCTTTCCTACGTGAAATACAATTTTTTACGATTGTACTCCCCATGAGCTGTGGTAGTCTATTACAGTTGTGATAAAAAATAACTAAAAATGCCAAAACTGGAGTAGAGAAATAATAATACCTTGGGTTTTTTTTTTACATTTAATTAAATATTGTATTAATTAGTTTTGTTTGCGTTTAGGGAGAGGAACATAATTTGGAACCGCACCCAAATGAACCAAAACCAATCACAGTAAGTCTGAAATACTAGAAATATATTGTATGAACTTAAAGCCTTATCGATTGCATCCCTACGTGGAATATAAACTTTTGGCGACTGTTCGCCTTATAAGCTGTGGTACTCACAGCTGGGTACTGTATTATAGTTGTAATATAAAAATAAATATGCCAAAACTGGAGTAGAGAAATATTATTACCTTGTGTCTTTTTTTTGCATATAGTTAAATAATGTATTAATTAGCTTTGTTTGCGTTTAGGGAGAAGAACAGAGAAGAGTTGATATGGAGGACGAAGAGGTCCCACAAGGACCAAGGCCGGATTTGGTAAGTCTAATATACTAGAAGTTTACTATAGTCAATTTTTTTCCCCCTCTTTTTACAATCCATAAATGCTTATTAACTAATTTTCTTAAAAGGGTTGGATAATTTTTCTTTATTTTGTTTTTAAATTGAAGTTTTTGGGGTTTAAAAAATCTGAAAATTAGACCACAGGTAAATTTAAAATATACAATTATATCAATTTTTTCTTTATTTTGTTTTTTCAGCGACGTTATATGGAAATGTTGGTTAGAGAAGAGGTAAGTACCAAAAATAAAAATTTGTCGTTTAATGAGATACTATGGGAATACGACCCTAGAATGCATGGACATTTAATCGACTATACTGGAAGATTCATTATGGATAAGACAATCAATTTCTATTAAACTATTTCGAATTTTGTAGTTTTTCAATTGAAAACTTTTGTTTATGTTATTTTACAATATGAGGTCGTATTCAAATATGTATCTTTCTGATTTTCTCTCAGAGCTCTATCAACTTTTAAAATTTAAATGGTAACATCTATGTATATTTTATTGGCTCTTTTAATTAGTTAAGTGCGGTAAAGTTGTAAAATTCTCCTTCCCCTCTCCATATTTATTACATATTTATTGTTATTTCAAAAATTTTTAAGCAAATTATCGCTTATCTAAAAAGTTTATCAAATATTTATACATGGAACCTGAGTTTTAAGAGTTGATTACACCCTGGTAAGTTGTTAATAAAACAATTTTTTGATAATTTTCAGAGGAGGAAGCATGCTTGTATGAGGTGCAAGGAGTTCGGGCACCTCGGGCACCAGTGCCATCTGCCCTGGGTGGAGTCCAAAGAAAGTCCCGAACATTATGCAAGAAGAACCAGGGGGCGCCGTAGGCGTTAGAGATCACTCTAGTGATCTCAGTACATGCACCGTTCTATACCCTGTTCGCTAAGAGAGCATGCCGGGCAGTGTTGGGCAAAATCGTAATCATAATTACCATTACGTTTATAATCATGAAAATTTTAAGGTGTGATTACGATTACACTTATGATTATGGTAACGATTACTATTACACTCGTAATCACAACCTTTTTCTATGATTACGGCCGTATACACAGATTTCCTCTGTGATTACAGTCGTATTTATACTTTTTTCTGTGATTACAAGTGTAATCATAATTAAATTCGGGATTATGAATGTAATCGTAATCGTAATCATATCTCCGGTATCTGTGATTGCAATCGTAATCGTAATTATATCTCCGGGCCTGTGATTATAATTGTAATCGTAATCACACCTTAAAATTTTATGATTATAATCGTAATTATGATTACGATTACGCCCAACACTGATGCCGGGTTTGCACGTGTAGACTGAAGACTAAGTAGCAAGACTAAGGCAGGCAGACAGAGCGGACTTACGGGGGAACGTTAGTCACATGCCGCAACCCAACGAAAATTGGCCGTTCTGCGCACCCCCCCGTGGCACCAAGTGTGACTAACGTTTCCCCCGAAGTCCGCCCTGTCTGCCAGGCTTAGTCTTCAGTCTACATGCGCAAACCCAGCATGCTCTCTTAGCGAACAGGGTATAAAATGGTGCATGTACTTTTTGGCCTGGCTTTGATACCGGCACATCAAAGCCGACTAGGCCCTTATTTTGGTCGCCGGGGTTCCCACTCTAGCCGCATCTTCTCCGACTTCGATACCTCCTACCACTCTACCTCTAGTCCGCCAAATGCTTTTAATCTCCAGTTCTCCGGTTTTATCGGTCCAACCACCACTGCTTATGTCCTGGGTACTTGACCCTTTAGCTCATCCGCCGTCACTCTCCTCCGGCCGCCTCTTGTTGGCGCATTGAGAAGTGGCGCAGACACTCTTGTGGCGATCTCCTATCAACCTCGCTCCATTCCACAAGTTGCTCATGAACCTTACTCGCATGTCACTGGCCGGGCCAGTGTGAAGAGCCGGCGACATTTCGGCTACCGACTACCGTTTGACAGTGTTGGGCAAATGTAATCTGTTTAATTATTACGATTAATAATAGTAATCAGTAATCATCGTGTTAGATTAATACAATCATATAAATGTAATCATGATTACATTTATGATTACATTAATCTTTCAAATGTGATCATGAAATGATTAATGATTATATTTTTTAACCGCCATAGGTTTTATGTATTACATAATACATATATAAAAAAAAATATATGGGATGTCTAAGACGATTTGACCTTTGCAATATCATCTAGACAATTATTATTATTTTGTAATAAGCCTGGGGCGGTTAAACAATTTTTTTTTATAATGTTTTCATGATTACAATTGAAAATATAATCATGATTACTGATTACTTTTACAAAATGATAAAATGATTAATGATTAATTTAATCATGATTACAATGTTGTAATCGATTACGTAATCCAATAATAAATTAATCGGTTACGCCCAACACTGCCGTTTGAAGGGCATTACTGCCAATATCATACTACAATATACATGTATTCTTTTTTTTGTCCCTTTAAGCATTTTTGTATTGTCGTACCTATTGCACCACACCTTCAGTTTTGCGCAGGCAAACCCTCCCACTTCTGATGTGATGTGGTGTAAATAGATGAATAAAAGCCATTTAAATACAAACTCCACCCCATTGAATTGTAATAACTTCAAAGTTAACATTATAATTTTTTTTTTAATAAAAATTGTTATAATATCTAATGTAAAAAAAAATATTATGTAAAACCATCTGGTTAAAATCATATTATTCTTGATAATGTGTGTATAATAATACGTATACAATAACCGTAATGTTAATAAATACAGTACTAATTGCTAAACAAAAAAAAATGTTTTTTATTTAACTAAAATACATTGATAATAATATACAAGGTAATGCAATGTTTAAAACCAATTGCGTAATGTAAACATTTTATAAAAAGTACAGTGTTGTTTAGGGCTTAAATCATGTGAAATAAACACGTTGGGTATCCATCATCAGAGTGTAATTGATCTATGCGAGGACAAACAATATCTTCAAGGTTAATTATGTTAATATGTGATAAACTCATGTAAAGTATCTTTTTTCTGTAGTCCATATATGGTTGTAAATGTTAAAGCATTTAAAATTATTGATAGTTCTTCCGCTTCATAATGAGGTGCCATTGAGTGAAGGTGTTTGGTTAGCCATTTGTTAACATTTTGTGTTTTAATGTTTAAAGATTGTGTAACATACATACCTACTTTTTTATATATATATATATGTATATATATATATATATAAATAAAAAATAAAAAAAGTACCAACCAACCAAGTTCATACTTACATTGGGTTCATTCGGTTTTTATCGAGAGCTCAGACAACACATCTGTCCTTTTTTTCTTCTTGTACTTTTCGTTGGTTAAAAATGGAATACGAAGTTGTCGACGGATTTCGTAAAAATAGTAAGCTACATCATAGTAATGATGGCTTTTTTTACCGCGTAAAGAAAGTGAGGCTATCGTCTACCTCACTAAGTTGTATAAAACCCAACTGCACTGCGAGAGGTATGATTTATTGCTATATATTATTTTAGAAAATTAATCTTTTTTCTCAATATGAACTATTTGTAACCCGATTGTAAATGGAAAACTGAAGCAATAAGTAGTTAGACGTAATCTTACTTATTTTACGAATACACAATAAAGCAGTGTACCATTTAAGTATAACTCAACAGAAGATTTTTTTTAATTAGGTAATACTCCACTTAATTAGAAAAATATCTTTTAAAAGGCTTGAAATAAAAACCGTTTTATTTGATTTTTTTTAGAAAATAACACTATTTTTCAAAGAAAAAAGGCCAGCACCATGAGTTGCCCTAGTACACAATTTATAGATTTTAATATGATAATTTACAAAAATTGATCAATGGGTTAACTATCATGAATATTTTGTGGCAATTAGTATTTATATTCATAATAATTATTTATAATCCGATTTGGTATAAAACATAACAATGATTAAAGGGATTGAAAGCGGACGATTTTTAAGGGGTTTTATAAAAGGCAATATTTAAGAAAAAAGCAACTTTTCGAACATTTTATTTAGTTACAGGTTACTTTGTAAAAGCTAGAGGCATCATTTTTAACTTTTACAATTTATTCTCCGAGTAAATGCCATTTTGTACGTACAAGAAATTAATTAAGGGTATTGCATACGGTCGGTTTTTAAGGAATTTTGTATAGGCAATATTTAGGAAAAATGGTTTTAATAAATTTTGACCATGTCAATTAATTTACCGGTTAATTTGTATAAGCTTCATGGTGTTATTTTTAATTTAAATCATTTTGTCTATGAGTAAAGCCACTTTAGTTAATATAGTATACATTTTTTGTTCCATCGCACAGGCTGAACCAGTGGTCCGATAATTTATCTGAAAATATATTTGAATTTGCCATGAAGTTTACTTCATCGGTCAGGGCACTTTTTTGATATCTTATTCCTACTATGTACAAAACCAGTTTGAATATTATAAAAAATTTCAAATTTTAAAAGGGTAAAGGTAAAGGGTTTAAATTAAAAACCGAAAGTGTGCCCTGAACGATCCTAAGTAAACTTCATGACGAATTCAAATCTGTTTTTAGATTGTTTATCGGATCACCGTGTTGGCTTATGCAATTGAATAAAAATGATGTTTTGACTGAAAAAATTGACCGCATGTAATCCCCCCTTAAGACCTAAAATCTTGACAAAATTATGCCTACTTAATATGATTGAATTTTAATTCTGTATAAATATTTGGGCTCATGAGCTTTTTCCCTAGGTTACCGTGGAAGTCGGATTAATAAAACAATATAAAGGATACTAAAAACTTAAGAAATTAAAATAGGATTTAAACACAATTTTAATTGAAATATAAAATTATTTACACAATAACCTTGAAAAGAGGACGATTAACTTGACATTTTTTATATAAAATTCAAATTGGACATTCTACGTAGGCGTAATTTTGTCAGGATCTTAGGTCTAAAACTTCGAAAAAACCAGTCCGCTTTTAATCCTCTTAAGGCTGAAAACAGTTTATAACATTAAACTCTTCTTAATACAATATTGTAATTTTTTTTATTATATAAAGGACTTATCAGGAATGATAGATTTGAGGTGATCGGACTTCATAATCATGATCCTGATATGGAATATTTGTCCGCTGTACGTGTAAAAAGCCAAATTCTTCATCGTTGTTCAACAGAATTGACCAGTCTTAAAGCCATTTATGATGAAAAAATAACACAGTAATACCTACCTTTAATAATAATTTAAAAATTAATATCAATGACGGCATTATTTATTACATTATTTAAACTGAGCTGATTAATTGTATTTAAAACTTGATGTCTCACAAACACAGGCGGAGGCAACTGTGGCAGCTGAGCTGCCTCACTTAAACCTATTTTGTTGCATAGTGATCTGTGATCGTTTGGTTTATCCATAAGTTATTTACATAATATATATTTGTAACTAAAAAATCTAGCAAGCCTAAAAAATTGTTTAACCTAAATAGGCGTAAATAATTGCGTAGTTAATTATAATTTAAGTATTTATGTTGAATCAGTAAATTGATAAAATAGGTGTACGTCTTAGTACACTTTTGAAAACTAAGTCATGCTGTAAACTACGTTCATTTAAAAATGTCCGTATATTCCTCTTAATTTAATAGAAGTAGGTTAATTTAAGCATGTTGTAAGAGTTTTAGACTACCATTATTAATTATTTACAAACTACTAAAAAGACAAGGTTTTTTTAACACGCTTATATTAGCTTCACTTGTATGTATGTATGTTTGTATGTAACTATGTAACTAAAAGAGATAGGCAACCGAACGTACATGCGTGTATTCATTGTTGCACTGGGCCGATGTCACTACATTTAAAAATAACATTATATATTGCCTCCCCTGTAATTGAAGCCCGCAAACGCTTGTGGTCATTAAAATGCATA